GAGGCCAACCGAAAGTCACTTTCCATGGCCTCACCGAACTCCTCCCACGCCTGGGTTTTTGCTTCTGCGACCCCCCGAGCCGCGTTCCGCCTGGCCTGCCAGTACCCATCAGCTGCCTCCGGAGACCCCCGGGCTAATAATTCCCAGTAGGCCTCCTTCTTCAACTTGACAGCCCCCCTCACCTCTGGTGTCCACCATCGGGTACGAGGGTTACCGCCACAACTGGCACCAACCACCCTGCAGCCACAGCTCCATACGGCCGCTTCCACAATGGAGGTCTGGAACAGTGTCCAATGTGACTCAATGTCCCCAACCTCCCCCGGTATGCAGTTGGAATTAAGTTAAAGCTCTGGCAAACAGGAGCCTCTGCCAGATGTTCCCAGTAGACCCTCACTATGCGCTTGGGCCTACCAGGTCTGACCAGCTTCCTCCCCCGCCACCTGAGCCAACTCACCACCAGGTGGTGATCAGTTGACAGCTCTGCCCCTCTCTTTACCCGAGTGTCCAAGACAGAAGGCCGCAGATCAGATGATACGATTATGAAATCGATCATCGATCTGTAGCCCCGGGCATGTTCGTACCATGTCCACTTATGGACACCCTTATGCTCGAACATGGTGTTCGTTATGGACAAACCATGCATTGCACAGAAGTCCAATAACAGAACACCACTCGGGATCAAATCAGGGAGGCCGTTCCTCCCAATCACCCCCCCTCCAGGTCACACTGTCATTGCCCACGTGAGTGTTGAAGTCCTCTAGCAAAACGATGGAATCCCCTTGTGGCATGCTAACCAGCATACCACTAAGGGAATCCAAGAAGGCCAGGCATAAGCGCAGATGACAGTCAGAGACCTATCCCCGACCCGAAGGCGCAGGGAGACAGCCCTCTCGTTCACCGGGGTAAACTCCGTTGTTAATGCACCAAGCTGTGGGGCCACTAGTAGCCCCACGCCAGCCCAGCGTCGCTCACCTGCCGCAATTCCAGAAGAAAAGAGCGTCCAGCCCCTCTCTAGGAGATTGGTTCCAGAACCCACGCTATGCATTGAGGTGAGCCCGACTATATCTAGTCGATACCTCTCAACCTCACGCACAAGCTCAGGCTCCTTCCCCACCAGAGAGGTGACATTCCACATCCCGAAAGACAGTTTTGTCAGCTGGGGATCGCACCGCCAGGGCCTCCCTTGGCCGCCACCCGATTCACAATGCACCGAACCCCTGACATTCCCCTTGCGGGTGGTGGGCCCACCTGGGGACAGTCCCGCGTGCCTCTTTCGGGCAATGCCCAGCCGGGCCCCACGAGCCAAGGCCGGGCCACCAGGCACTCAACAACGGGCCCTTTCCCCAGACCCTAGACCGGGTGACGGAAACGAGACTTTGATCGAATGCTTTATCATAAGGTTCTTTCGGATTGCTCTTTGTCTGGCCCCTCCCCTGGGACCTTTTTGCCTTGGGAGACCCTACCAGGGGCTATTGCCCCCGACAACATAGCCCCCAGGGTCAATGAGGCATGCAAACCCCTCCACCACAATAAGGTGGCAATCCAAGTTATTCTCCCCCTGTAATGCAGGGTTCCCCAAATCTGGTCCTTGTGGGCCAGTTTGCCACACAGTTTACTAATACAATGTAATAATAATACATTTTATTTATAAAGCGCTTTTACATGAACTCAGAGATGTTTTTGCAGGCAACAGTTTGCAGATTTTCATGCTGAAACACACCTTACTCTGCTTACTAGCCAATGAACAGGTTTAATAGTCATGTTCAAGCAGGGAGATCTGTGAGTGTGTTCCAAACTAGCCCTCCAGGACTTGAATTGAGGAACCCTGCTGGTATACCTAGATCTCGGCATTAGTCTTTGGTACTGTGACATAGTTTTATAAGATTAAAGTCTGAATGACAGCAGTTGTACCCAGACCAGCAGCCTATTTTCAAGTAATTTTTCCTTCTGCCCTGGTCTGTTACCCTCAGTCATGGTTGTTTCAGTACCTGGCCCCCGGTGAGTTACTGCAGGAACTGACAGTGCTATAAAACACACATACAATTGGCTGCGGCAACAGACTCGGGTGACTCGAGCAAGTCTCTGGGCTGAATCAGTTGAAAGGCTTTCCATCAGAAATGCCAGTGACATCTTAGTGCTACCTTGTCAGAGTACACAAACACGTTCCACTGTGTTACAGAATAAGGAGTAAATTCAATGTATCATGTCTCATAGTCAAAATACATTATGACAGGTTGTGTCTTGAAAAGGACAAAAACACCTATTAGGGTAGATCTTCAATCTTGAATACTGTACTTATAACATTTCTGAATCAGTAGGCCTACTTTATGCACTTAGATACTGTATGCATAATAACATTTTAGGAGATGTGCAGAAGGAATTCAGGATTCTGACAAATAAACACACACATTGTGAAGGTTAAATATAGCCTACATGTAGCCTGTGCTTTTTATTGCATACACCACATTTTTTTAATTCAGACATACCTCAGCAGGATACCGATACAAAATAGGTCTAAGAATCGTCTTTCAGAAGGCACTTCTGTAATCCTTAAAGTCTCAAGTACTTGTTACTCGTTGTCTATAAATGCCTACGGCTTATCGGCTTATCCCAGCTGATGCTCGTCTGAGATCTGAAATAGGGAATAAATCAGAGGTGTGACCAGAACATCATGTGTGGGTGGGCATTTGGCGTCCATCCATTCCCATTTTTGTAGGGGGGTCAAATAATAATAACAACTTCGTTTTATATAAAAATATAAAAGCAAAAATTATGGCATAAATCATAACCCATTGTTCAATAAAAATTAACAGAGGCAATGGAACTTTTATTATTTTTGTGATTGTGTAATCAAATAACTTAAGGAAAAGTCCCTCCTCCCCACCTTCGTGATTTTGACCACGCAGAGCCAGTTCATTGACTGCAAGGAACTGAACGGCCTCCCCAATGCTTTTCACATAATATCTATTCTTTTCTATCTGGGTTGTACCCAGTAGTTGAACTATGCTTTCACCCGTCTCTGCCCGGCGCCGATACTCTTGCCATGCAGACATGGCTCTGACGTGCGGGATACTAGACGCGAGTTTGTGGAAGCCACCGTCTTTTTCTAGAGCTTTTTTCCAATTAGTGTAGCCATGTTTGGTGAATATGTCCTCGCGGTCCGAATTGGAAACACTAAATTTGCGGCAGGCAAAGCAAAAGCTGGCATCACGGACAACAGAATATTCAAGCCATGGTCGAGACTGATACCAGCTTGCACTAAAACATCTGAGTGTCTTTCCGAATGCGCGCTTGGGATAATGAATTAAAATGGGATGGGATGGCCTATCCATATTTAAATCAGGCAGACCGGACTGTATATTTTGTTGAAGGCAGAGGTTTGGAGTAGCCGACACGGGCGCAGAGCTGGAGGATTGTGTAGGAGTTTCAGTTCCCGACGTGGGTGCGCTATGCTCCGTGTTGGTAGCAGCGGTGCTGGGCTCAACCGTGGAGCCAGCAGCTTGCGGAGGGACAGAGGTTGAAGGTATGGACTTTTTAATAAGCCATCTATGCATAGCTTTTGCCATTACCAACCAGAAGATAAAAGAAGAATGGAGCGTATACGCTATTTTAATTAAAGATTGCGGTCAACAGTTTCAAAACGTGCTGCAAAATGCGTAGCGAAGTGAACCGTGAGCAGCACGTGCATGTCTAGTGGAGGAGGCACTGACGGATACGCCCCTAATTCAAACGGGCCAATTGGAAAGCAACTCAGTTTTGAAAATCAAATGTTTTCATTGGACAGACAGAGTATTTCGCAGGGTGGGCACGGCTTGTCTCTGGGGGGGGGGCAGTGCCCACCCCAGCCCCCCCGTGGTCACGCCTCCGGAATAAATAGAGAGAATAAGCAAACAAACAAATAAATGATTAAATGACGCGCGTTACTAATTCCCCGTATATATTGCTTAAAGTTGTGATAATACGTATACATTATAATCATAATGAATGTTACATTTCACAGTAATGGATCAGGTGATCTTCTAATTGCCTCTGAAATTAGCGCATAATTACCCGGCTTGTGATGCTGAGTTTTACGTAAAGATGTTCTTGTTTATTTGGGTATTGTGGTGGAGTGGGGTGGCAGCCGATTTAACTCGGTAGTTTCACGAGTCACCTTATCCCCTTATTCCCTGTCTGGAAAGAAGCGACCGGCGTGAGCTTCCCCCTCTCACATGCCCTCCGTTCCAGGGGCGCGCATATTAAAGCCCCCCAGGTCATCCTCACGGTTTCATTTATCTGCCAAATGCGCATCAAAAACGACTCAACCGCCAGCGGCTCCGCTGTAAGTAGAGACTTCAAGGGGAAAAAGACGAGAGTTTAAAGTATGCCCACTTCTGTATTTATATATATATAATATTTTTGCACCAGATACTTAATGGGTGAGATCATTATAGTGTCGTGCGGTCTAGCGTAGAGGTAGTTCATTCTGATAAGTGACTGACAGCCCACAAATCATCCGACCATCACAGATAAACGGTATGAGGGGAGAGTATGCGCAAGTAATATTGGAAAAAACCAAAGCGTGTGGTTGTTGCGGGTAAGTTTCACACCATTTACAATGTACGTTATGTGCACTCAAGTCTAAATCGGTAGTGTGGTAGTGTACTGTCTGTCATTTTTAAGTTAGTGAGATACATAATGCATAGTGCCTCATGTTGAGTTAGAGATATGATTAAACCCTGTAGATGTTAGCAAAATCAACAACTACTCGTCTACACTTATTTCAAAATTAACCTAAAATAGAAGCAGTTTCTTCTTTAGCTAGTCTTTAGCAACACCTCCAAAATACCTGGAAAACATAGAAAATGTCAATGTGAAATAAAACAAATATACATCTGATAGTAATTCACTAGATGCCTTTGATTTTGACGGCCACTTGACTTAATTCCATCTATATTTCTTGATCTTAGCTTGGTGCTGGAGCTTTTGCAGTCTTCTTGCAGTCACTGCTCTTTTTTGCGCAAAGATCTTTGTTTGTCAGCTTATAAAGAACCATTTGTTTCCAGGCTCTCGGAAATCCTCTCACATTTGCCGCAGTGCAGCGCTTTTTGTGAGCGCTGTACAAGCCACTCAGATGCAATTGATTTCCATGAAAATACACTGAAGCCTTAGCGAGGCGCCCGATAATGCGAGGCATCTAACTGGAGGAGACTCAAGCAGAATGTTCATTACGGACTTTATTCACTGTCTACCCAGAGCAGAAATACTCAGGCACCACTGCAAAACTTTTGCTTAATTCACACATGATGAAGAAACAGGTGTGCCATTAACCGTGCGCACTCCGGCAGCGCTCTGCAATTAAATAAAAAGTTTTTATTTGCTGCAATTTGACCAGGAGGTGCTTACCACTGTGGAAGCGTGAAAGTGTAATGGCGGCATTTAAAGGCATCTGGACTCAGGAGTTCTGGCGGGCGGTCTCTGCGGAGTTCCTGGCCACCCTGATCTTCATCCTACTCAGCCTTGGCTCCACAATAAACTGGGGGGCTGGCAAGGAGAAGCCACCCCCCCCGGACCTGGTGCTTATCTCACTCTGCTTCGGCCTGAGCATCTCCACTATGGTTCATTGCTTCGGGCACATCAGTGGGGCCCATATCAATCCAGCCGTAACGGCGGCCATGGTCTGTACTAGGAAGCTCAGCTTGTCCAAGGCTGTCTTCTACCTGGCAGCCCAGTGCCTGGGAGCGGTTGTCGGGGCTGGAATCCTTCTCATGGTGACGCCCAGTTCTGTGAGAGGTGGCCTTGGAGTAACCGTGGTAAGATGTGAAGGATTTCCCCATAGAGCAGCAGTAGCTTCATTCCTGTGACAGTCTGGCTAATTTCCTGCTTTCTTTTCACGGCTCAGAATTAGGCACAACATGAGAACTGCAAAGTTATTGAAAAAGCCGATAATCTGAAAGCAACAAAGACCCCCTTTTCCCAAAAAAAAAATATATATATATTTTTAGCTAAATTCTCAAAGGAGCAGGGGAGGATAGATATTTAGCATCTATAACAAAAAGAGCAGCAGCCAAATGCCACTGCTGGGTGTCTGTTTGGTTATGTTTGGATCTCTAGTTAGCAATGTTTGGAAAAAGCAGAGTCTAACCATTTTTAAAACACCAAGCAGTTACTGCTGAACATTTTCAGCAGCGACTGTGAACTGATGACTTCAAAAGGTCATTCATTTTCCAGCGTTAAAGTTTTCCTGAACTCCACTTGTGCTGATTCGCAATGACTGTAGAATACATAACATTGACACCTAGGACCAAATTCATCCCTGCCTTTATACCATGATATAACTGGAAGTCAAAGTTCATAGGACACGCAAATATAAATTTACTCTACAATAAATGAAATAGCTTATATATGAGTGAGTAAGCAAAGATTTCAGCTGAAAAAAATAAAACTTAGAAAATGTGAATTAATGTAATGTAATTGTTAATGTAATTAATGAAACATACATTCATGCTGGATTAATTTCAGTATTACAAGACTTTTAATCAGAGGTGGAGATTTCAGGTTCAGAGAGTATTAATCCGGACCAAGATTTTGTTTCAACCAACCGGTTGAGTATAAAGAGTCACAGTCACAGAGTACTTAACTAGTTGGTTGAAATAAAATCTTGGTCTGAATTTGTACTCTCTGGACCTGAAATCTCCACCTCTGCTCTTAATTAAAAAGAAAAATCAAAAAGATTAACATCAGTCAGAAGACACTTTATGAATGAAATAACCTCATTTTATTATATATTTTATTGATGACATAGTGTGTTTGGTGCCTGTGAGTGTACTGATGAACAGCATCTTTGCTGTTCTCTCCAGGTAAATTCCAGCATCTCGCTGGGTCATGCCCTAGTGGTGGAGCTCCTGATCACCTTTGAGCTGGTCTTCACCATTTTTGCTACATGTGACCCCAGACGTGTCGAGCTCAAGGGCTCGGTTGCCTTGGCCACCGGCTTTGCTGTCTCCATTGGACACCTCTTTGCTGTAAGTAGTCTGATGCCATTGGAGGTCGTGTCAAACAATCTGGTGCAATAGAACCCTGGTAGGCACCTAAACTAGGGACATGCAGTACTGTGAAAAAGTCTCAGACTGTCAAGGAAAATGATGATTAAATGATCTTCGTGTTTGTGTAAAACTATGATATTATGCATGTGTTGGCTTAACCATTTCAAAACCTCTCATAAAATCACCCCAGTATTTCCAGCAACCATCCAATACACCCATGTGTTTTTTGACTTGACCACTAGCAGACCTCATATTGCTAATGATAAGGTTGGGTATGAGTTGTATGAGTTCTTATATCTTCCACCTTAAAAAACCCTAGAATCACCACAGACATAAACAGAATGATGTTGAACCTCGCAGCTGTTAAAAAGTCTCCATCAGAAAGTGCAGCTTTGCTCATACACACTTGCTCCCCTTCAGCTAGATAGAGGTATTCCCCCTCACCCTCCATTGGTTTAGCCCACTGTTAAATGATGTCATGTCCATGGCAACGGACCCTGTGGATCACAGCCTGTCACTTCAAGTGAGCGTTTGAAATCAACACAGAGCAGCTCTCAGTTTCCACAGCCGAGGCTGCGGGGGCGAGACTGGCACCTCAGTCCGGCTGCTTTCTGGAATTTCACAAAAACAGTCAACAGAATACAGAGACAGTTATGTAATTTTCATTTATCGGAATTCCACACCAAATCCAGCTTATTGTAGTTATAGCTCTGCAGACAGGCATTTGATAGTTATTCTCTTGTGTGTTTGTCAGTTGTGAAGGACAGACAACTTATATTAAAGCAACAACAGAAGCACATCAACAATCGTGTCAGGTTTCCTAGCAACAGGAGAATAATATATTAAGAGAATGAGTAGGTTTGCTGCAGAATTGGAGGGTTTACTCTTAAATGGATGAGACTCCTTTTGGAGGTCAATACATGTCAATACTGCTTATCCACTGGTTTGCAATACATATTCCACACAGAAATCGAAACTATTGGAGAAGTTGTACCAGAATTTCACCCACTAATTGTTGTCCTGTGGTTTCACTAATTACAGATCCCTTATACTGGAGCCAGTATGAACCCGGCCCGGTCTTTTGGACCTGCTGTTGTGACCTGGAACTGGGAAAACCACTGGGTATGGCAGAACCACAGGGTCAATGTGCTCACGGCCAGATTCAGCCCAAGTGTGGCCTGGGGCCCAGAGATGCAATGTGAAGTGGCTGTAAGCTGAGGTTGTGGTCACTGGCTATCTTGGCAGTGCAAAACATTAATTCCAGACATACAAAAGCGAGATTATTAATGGTTTCTCAGACTAGAATCATTGTACAATGGTATAAAAATGACGTGTCCTTGGGGCTTTACATCTGTGCAACCTTGTACCCAAACTGTAGTACCCAAACACATACTCAGAAAAATGATATGTGTATATATCTACATATACACCACCAGTCAAAAGGTTTTACACATCACAGGTTTTTACCACTTCCATTTATTTCATAAACTGCAGATTGTTTTATTCTTGTTAAGCACTGGAAAGTTGAGTGAACTATAAATGAAAATAGAAGTCAAATAAAACAAATTTCCTTTATAACAAAGAAAGAGTATGTAACAGTGCATGACTGACGTCCCATTAACTGGTTGTGTGGTGATGGCATAGTCAAATTCTAGGCTGTCCTTTAACTTAAAATGCACTAGTTGACTGTTTCATGCCATGAAACAGAGCAGTATTTAATGTCCCTTGCATAAAAGAATGCCTTGAATTTTATCTGCTAGAGGAGGTTACTTTGATGAATCAAAGATATAATATTTTCTTGCTAATAAAGGTACTCAGTCGGTGAACATTTATTTCTTATTATTTGGCAAGAATATTCAGTGTATTTTAAATAGATGTTACGTGAGTGACACTCAAATGCAGACATACAAAATCTTAGTGTGTGCAAAAACTTTTGACTGTGTGTGTGTGTGTGTGTACTTGTATATATAATTTTGCATGTGAGATATGCTTTTGTTGTTATAATAGGAATGTGAAAAGCTGATATGTGATTTTATAGGAATTCTCGAAAGATGTATCAAAACCAGCACTGATGCATCAATGGTTAGTAAGATTATTGAATAAACATAGTAAACAAATAAATGATTTAGCACATTCAGTGGAGAATCCAAGCCAGCGAGTCCGTAAGACGATTTAGAGATTGACTGAGCAAAGTAGGGCCTCACCAAACGTAAACATTTGTCTGACAGATGTTTCATCTTGACAGCATTAGTGATGCCAGTGTTTATACAGAGCTTGTGCAGCGTGATGTTTGAGCAGGAGAAATTGTTTTGAGGGCTCTTTGGAAGTGTTGATGGTGGAGAAATCACTGCCTTATGTGCAACAACAAGAAGGGGCCCAATGCACCTCGAGTTCCTCCCTGGGAGGCCCCGGCCTCCTACAACAGGATCTGTGAAGCTTCTTTGTAGCACATGGCCCACATAAATTCCCAAAGCCGACTCAACACGCTCATCTCAGGGAGACTGGCATCAAAGTTTCATCAACCCAGATCTTGGCGACGCCCCGATGTTTTATGCATCAAAGGTCTGAGAAAACGGGAGTTACAAAACTGAGGTGAAGTGTGTCAGCATGCAGGTGCTCCAAACAGGCTGGCTTTTCCCCCTTATTGTTTTGACTCAGATAGCAAAGAAGAGGGGGGGTAGCTCGAGGTAGCACGGAAGTGGGCTTTTGAAAAATAATGTGCCGTGTGGCTGTGTCTACAGGTATACTGGATGGGCCCGGTCATGGGTGGGGTGGTGGCAGCCGCCCTCTATGATTATATCTACTACCCCGACAAGGAGCTCAAGAAGCACATGAAGGAAATGCTGTCAATGGTGCCCTACACGCCCACCAAGTACAAGGAGGCAGAAGACAGCCGATACCCAAGAGACTTGGACGAGCTGGTCATTAAGCCAGGACCCTTCCACGTGATCGATGTAGCTGAGAGGAAGGACAGGGACCCCGCCCGGGAGGTACTGTCCTCTGTATGACTAGCACATAACGTTGAAAAAGGAAAGCGGGCCGTGACCTTTGACCCCCACCTCGTGTCCGCCCTCAAGGAGACATACCTCTGCTAGGACTCGACGTAAGAGGACCATCCTCAGCTGCGCAGCTTCACCTTCATAGGAAGCCACTGACCTTCATTTACAGAAGCCACCAGGATGACTAAAAATCAACATAGCCAACATCTGACATAAGCAGGGGCGTATCCCGGGGCCGGGGCCACAGGGGTACTGACTCCAGTTGAAAGTTGATTGGCCCTCAGTATGCCCTATCCCCTTTCACTCACTGATTCTAAACGTATCATTGGCTAATGATGAGGTTGGCCCCTCCGTGTGAATTATGGTCCCTCTCATGTCCACCACCTTAAAAAAATTCTAAAATAAAAGTAACATTCCCTTTCTTATTGAGGGTTTAATTAGCAATGTAATTACACTATGCTTTTAAAATAAGGGTTTTATATGCAAAACTTTCTATAATGTGGTTCTTCCTTTTTAGTGTATGTTTTTTCAACATCCTCATCAAAATCCTCTTTAAAATTGCATCAGAAAATATGCTTATGCGAATTTGTTTTTAACAGATGTAACAATCGTTTTTTTTTTGTAAACACTTGCATATTTGTATATAGCAGAATATATTTTAATTGATTAATTCAAATTTAATGGTTTTCATTCTGTACCTCTGAATTCTTTCTTTCGCAACTGAAAGTCCAAGTTCATTCTTTTACCCATTTTTACATATACTTTGATGTATCATTATGAAAATCAGTTTCCATTGCTTGCACATTTGTTATAGCAACTTTAACGGCAGGTTTAATCATCTTGTGATTTTCAAGATGAATTAGATATCTTGTTAAGTCAATTATGGGCCTGTGGTCACTGGTCACCACCCCATTTGCAGAATTTGGAACATTCTGACCCTGGAGAATTTCATATTATGGTTATAACACAGCTAAATTATATTTATCAATTCTGATAAAAATGTCATGTGTTTTGGTTACGTGTATGAAATATATAACATAATACACGATTCATTATATAAATATTTTTTAATACATGTATCATTCGTAATGCCTTGTAATTTTCTGTCGTAAGGCTTCTTTTTGCCTTACATTTTATTCCGTTAAAAATCGGTTTCTCAAAGCGGAGCCGGTCCTTTCCCTCTCCCTGGTTATAGGCACTGACTGCATTGACCCGTCAGAAAGGCTATTATCCTGTGACTGTACGGTAGCCCGTAAATGGGACGGATCTCCTTTACAGGGTTGCCCCCTGTCGCCGGGCACCGTGCAGTCCGGGCATTGAGGAGGATGATCGATGACTTTGTCTCACGGTTGGCGCTGGCTTGCGGACTACGCGAAGAGGAAATTAATTCTCCCCTTTCTTTATTCCGCTCTTACAGACCGTTTTTATATGGTCTCACTCCATCACTGCGAACACAGTAACAAGTGGTGCTTTATTCTGCCCAGAATTTTGCGCGATTCTTCAAAATGATGAGTTGTTCCCTTGGGGTGGGATTTTGGGGCTGGGGGGGGGGTATCCTTCCACAGACAGTTACTCAGCTGAATGCCATTTCTAGATTTTAAGGTAAGTATTACACGGAGATCGACCATTAGCCTACTTTTACGTGCAAGTTTTGATGGTATATGTGCAGTTAAGGCACACGCAACTAAACGGTTGGTACCTAGTAAGGTGATGGGCAACGCGGTGGTATATTTAACTAACTAGGCACAGGGTCAGTAGCCGACACCGGTCTGGGTGGCATATGAGAGCAGTCGCTTTGGGAGTGTTTACGCTAATGAAATATAAAGCTGTTTTTGCATGACTCTTTCAAGGTACGTGTAACTGAGGAAACGGAGGGTTAGGGAAGGTATTTCCATCTCATTCGAGGAGAAGATGCATCCCTAATGGAAACGTGCCTTAACCATTAACGTGCCAATTTAATTAAATTACAAATAAAATTACCATTTCCGATAAACCCTCGTCCACAAATCGGATGTGGGCAGGGCGCCAGAAACGCTGGAATAATCGTTTCCTTTCAACATTAAGTTGGGCTGTGAAGATGCTGGTTATAGACCCCTTTTATCTGGCCGATCCACAGACTACCCCCTAACCTTCACACACTGAGAATCTCTATAACCATAAGTGTTTTGTAATGTCAGGTGAGGAGGTTTTCCTGTCGTCCACCTCAAAAATTCATGCGCAAATGGCCGTTTTATAGTTTTTCATTATGCTACCCACATAAGGTTTGTATGATTTTATTCTTGTTTACGATGCTGAGGAATACGGTAAGAACCTGAAAATAGTGCCAAGGGTTTCTTAAACAGGACAATATTACCATCTAGTGGTAAGACTGAAGATATTCACTGCCTCTATTGCTGTTAAATATTATTGTTAATTGCGAACAGGGTGGCTCAACGGTTAGCACTGTCGCATCGTACCTCCAGACTTGTGTATTTCTTACATCAGTAACATCAACAAATGGGTATTAATGTCTAATTCCAAAATTATTATTTTATCATTCCCTTCACAGAAATTCCTGTTAACTTTTATTTCCGTCTCACAAGCAAACTTTGCATCAAAACCACTACAGTGTGCATAAACACAGCAGTCAAAAAACATTTATACCTGTGCCTGTGTGGATAACTTTAATGGGCTGCTGTTATTATAAATACTGTGCACGTGTTCAGCACAGTAATAAATCCACATAATGAGAGCCTCGCATTTATTCAAGGCATTGCTGTGTTGATGAGTTTATGTGTCCCTTTAAGCTAATATGGGTTTTACTGCTATTATTAATCAGCCTTAGTTATGGCACATAGGGTACTCTATAAAATGTCACCTTTGATTAACCCCATCCAAAAGCCACTCTTGTTTGAAATAAAATGGAGCTTTATTTGCCATTTGTACAACTACACTGGAATGTGTTCGTTCTCATGTATCCCCTTTCGCTCTCCTTTTTATTTTAAGATATTTACATATATAGAGGTGAGAGCAAAGCCTAGGGTCTGAGCTCAGGGTCAGCCATTCATCCCGGTCCCCTAGAGCATTTTCCAGGAGGTTAAGGTCCTTTCTCCAGGGCCAAAAGGCCGTGTGACTATTCTGCTGAGCATGGGATTTGAACTGACGGCCTTTCCATCATAGGTATAGAGGCCTAACTTGCTGAGCCACACATCATAAAGAACATAAAGTTTGGGGGATGACAGTTCTTGGTTAGCTTTACATCTATAATAGTGCTATGCTCCTGAAAAACACACCGAGATGTGGTCACTCCTTTGATTGTCACACACTGAAACTGCACAGTTTAGGATCTGTAGGTGTCTCTGGGAGTTGCTGGATGCCTCCTAGATATGGTGACCAGCACTTTCAGCTCTGCTCATTTTGAGATACTACCCATGAACTGCCCCGGGGCCTGTGATTTTTCTGATGATTAAGGAAACTTTGGTGTTATGAGAGGAAAAAATGGATGATTGTGTGTTTTTCCTCTATACCATCATCAGCATGCTTAAATTAGCTCCGCTTGCTGAATGGGATATGCTACTTTGCTTTAACATGAAGCTGACAAGTGCTGACATCAACGGTATCTGTACGGAACACAGGCATCTCAAGCATTCGTCCATCCTTCCATCCATTTTCCAACTGCTTATCCAATACAGGGTATTGGGGTCAATTTGCACTTGAAATGGGAGACAAAGTGAGTTTATGTCCTCAGAGAACCTGAGCTGCGCACCTAAAGTGTAGGAGTAGGATCAACCCTGTTTGACGTTTTTTTTGAGTAACATTTCTGCTGACCAATTACCACAGGGCTAAATCGGATCTTAATTACAGCTTCACCAAAAATAAGATCTGAGGTAGGGCACAGACCAACGGAGCCTGCTGCGGAGGTAAGAGATCCTGCAGAAGATAAGAGGTTAAAACTCTGTCAGCCAGAAGAGGGCATTAGTGAGTAAATAATTACTTACATACACATATATATATATATATATATATATATATATATATATATAAATTCATATATGAAAATAATAACCTACTAACACACTAAGTAACTTAAAGATCTAGGTATACCTAGACAGTTTCTGTATAATTATGCCTGGATTAACCACTGGGCATGGTTGAGCAGGAACCTTCCCTTTCTTCAACAACTTTTGTACATAAAGAAGTAAATCAAAGCTTGTCAGGATTCCGCTTCAAAAGCAACACCCCAATTTAATTAGCGATGAACAGGGGTCGCATTACTTTTCCTCGTCTTTTCTGTGGACAGCGCGGTTGCAGAAGACTTAGCAAATCGAAGCAGGGCAGTAAATGAATGAATGAATGAAAATGTGCAAGGAATGTTGCCAATTCAGTTTAAAGTTGAACAGCCCGCGTTAAGTTAAGGGCCAAAAATATAAGCTGTGCGCCCTGAATTTACAATATTAATCACAAACACGTTTATTATGGAGGTATACGATCAGGTACTAGGAGAACCTGTTAGGTCTGTCTGAATATTTTAAAATTGGAGTTCATATGTAAATTTTGAGCCCAATTACTACACTGCAAATCAGCTGAAGAATGTTGAACATGGCAAAAAAAAGTACAACAAGATCTCAATATTGCACTTTTCTTGTTTATTACTCGCGTAAAGTGCCCGATTAGGGTGTCCTTTCCCCGGAGCGCGTCTTCAAATGGTCCAGCCTGCTTCGGCGTCTATATGGTAATGTCTTCTTTGTTTACTCACCGTTGAGGGAGGGGAAATTGTCTCATTTAACAAAAAGCACCAAATTACCAATGTTTAGACTTATAATTAGCAAAGGGTGTATGATTAAAAAACTTGCGGTGGGTATTTTCTTTTTAAATCCCAGGGCACCGCGTTTTTCAAACAGCGCGATGTGGTTAGCGAGGCTCTGCCTCTCGCAGCGTTCCCCATTTCTTCTCCCGTAGCTATTTATTAAAATTTAAAATGTAATTGCTCCATTTAAATTAATTGGAGAGAGAGGGAAGAAAAAATGCAGTTAGTCTCTTTAAAAATTAATCTTGCACAGTAACGTCAAAGAAGGAGAGAGCCATCACAGGGAGTCTCGGCAAAACCCATCTGTAAAACTCAGCTACATTAAACCCCAAAGTACTTCTGTCCAGAACCGAGCCCAAAAACTACTTTGCGGCGTAGAACTTGAAATCGGACTCGGGCTTCCTTAATTTAAGTTGCTTGTAGGGACGTTACCAGAGCCACAAGCAAGGTTCTCATTATTATGAACAATTTCACTGAGGAAATATAAATATTAATCATAGCTTAGACAATATTTTTCAATATTAAATAGCTTGATGAATATTTGAGGAGACAAATCAAGGGCGACGTGCCAGGAGGGTGTATGTGGCATTAATGCGCCTATCATGGGGGTGTACGGTACTGTCAGAAGAATGTTCGCTCTTTAATTCCTGTTTTGGGAAATAATGTGTTTTAGATCTCCAACGTATACATTTTAAGATGGACTTGTGGTTTCAACAGAAAACTTTATTCCTGTTGAAACACATTGACTGTCCTTAATGACAAAAAAGAAGCCTGCTTTTACCCAGCACACCTCTCTTTCAGGACCAGGTGGGGGCGCTCTCAGAGCTTGCGATAACGATACTGAACCTAATACAGCAGCAGCCCAAGATATATTTCACCACTGTTCCAACCCATATGTTTTACACGGAAGTGTCTGGTATAATAATACGGTGTATAATACGTTATATGGTCCAGTGCAGGTCTAAATGCCGCTCTCGGTAACCCATCCCAGATACGCAAACGCGGTGCAGCCCTGACGGTCCGCAACTTGGCGTTTTTTCATGGTCTGCCGCTGATGCTGGGTGGCCAACAGACAACATCCCTGAACTAATACTGCTCCGTGATCCGTTTATCCCCGCCGTGGGAGGCACTGGGTGTGTTTCATAAACCTCAAGTGCCTCTCAAGATGGCAGGCTTTTGGCGCCTGAATTTACCTCATAGGTTGACAGCTAACTCCCTTTTTTCTGCATTTTGCCAATCAAAACTTTAGACTCTTTT